ACCTTCCATGGATTCTCCACATAGCCACTGATGAGGGAGGTTTTGATAGAATAAAAATCCCTTGTCTCTCAGGAGTTCTCCCTGACACACTCCCTAGCTCCCTTACAAAACAGGCTGTTTATCAAATTATACTTTATCACAAAAGTTTGATTACAATTTTGGTGTTTATATAGTATTACTTGTGACACTCAATTAAATTGTGTTTTAAATTAATTAATTAACATCTTATAAGTCCATGTTTTGCCTCTTTCATTTTGATTATCCTTTGAATGCAGTGAGTTTACCTCGTATTTCTTTTTATTCTGCTCAACACAGATGATCATTACGTGTTTGATTAGATCTCAAATTAAAACCTAAATGTGATTTATTTTTCTACCCTCTATATTTATTGGCCAGGTTTCTCAAAAATTAAACTAAGTTTTATAAAGAAATATGCAGAGATTAAGCACTTTTACTAGAAGCGTTAATGGATATAAAAATTTTGAAGTAATAATTCTGTTATTTTATAGATGATTCAAAAGAGAATCTTAATTTATTTCTATTTTTACATAAATTGGTTCCGATTTTGAAATTACCCATTGGTGTAATCCTTTGGAGAAGAATTTAATATAATATCTTCCAGTTTGTAAGCAGTTCAGAAAATATATTCAAGAAAATAATCAGATAATTCAGTTTATTTCTTCAAATTAACATTTCACTACTAAACTGCCACATTGACTAATTTTCAATTAGAAGAGCATATTTTTAATTTAATAAATAAGAAAGTAAGTTTCACTAACATGTTCTATTTAATACTAACACAATACACAAATAGAAAGACAAGATGGAGAGGATAAGTATTCATTGACCTTTGGTATTATAATGAAACATATATTAATTGGATTATTTTTAATAACACAATACTGAAAATGCATTATATAGATTTTTAAATATCAATAATAAGAAAAAGATAAAAGAACCATGTGTTTGCAGAGCCTCTGTTTATTAGAAAACTTTTTTTTTCTGTGATGGTATTTTAATCTAAAATTCAGAAAAACTACATGCCAAGATGTTCAGAGCAGTCTTACATATAATAATTTAATTGACCAAAGCCTAAATGTTAGCTATGATATGAAATGTTTAGAAAATTATTTAACATGGATGGAATGGTATATAATCTGAAACAAAAGATGTTAATAATATCCTAACATTGAAAATACTTATGATTAGCATTATACTAGTAGGATAATCTTCCTGAATATTCAGGGAAACTCTTTTCAGAATTACCAGACTAGAGCAGCATTCCAGAAACTCCCATGGATTAATAAACTGAGAAATGATTTGGGCAGGTACCCTTCCTATGCTGTCATTGTAGGAAAGCTTTGTTCTATACATTCCTAGGGTAAGCAAGAAGAATGCAGAATGCTCTCTCATTATATGATCAAAGTCAAGATTATTAGTTCCCATTGCATAAGGTAAAAATATTGAGAAAGAGAAAAATTATCAAACAGACCATAAGGAAAGTAACAAAAATTAGATAAATTCTAACTACAGTTCAGAGTCAAAAGTTTGACCCTCTTTTTATTCTCTCACCCCCCAAGACCTCTGCGAGGCAGCAGAAATCAGGAGGTGGAGAAGCTTTGGCATTCATTGAGCAGACAGAGTGTAAAATTGGCAAAATGCAAAAGAGTTCTCTAAATATCGTTACTTCTGTATTGAGGAGTAGCCCATTCTGTGAAATGCAAGAGATAGGGAGGAAAGAGAATTGAGGTTGGGAGAGGGTTCCTATAAAGGAGATAGCTATGGGTTTTGGAAAATGAAGGAGAGAAAGGACAAATGTCAGAGAAGAAAAGTAGTACAGAGAACAGTGGAATGCTTTTTCACTTGCTGCCTTGACACTTTTGCTTTTTGGTGTTAAGACTGATGGCCAAGACCAGAGGCCAGATGTTTATTGACTCTGGGTGACACAAATAACTTGGAAGTTTCTTTTGAAAAAAATCAAAATTTCCATGAAATTTACTTCTACAATGTTTAGAATCCTGTCTCCTCACTTAATGCTTTGGTAGTGAGGTCTCCTGTGTTATACCAGGTAACTAGATTAGAGTATAATACTTGATCCACCAACCCACCCTCATGCTGCCCCACCCTATCTCCAACGGGCGTTAACAATCACTACTTAAACCCCTTCTTTCAGACAGATGCTGGTGAGGAATTATCTGGTCTGTGGAGAAGAATCGTTCCCTTTCTCCACGGTTGTTGATAGATATTGACCATCTCCTTAGAGATGGTTAAAGATATCCATCTGTGAAAAGCTGTGGACCCCCAAGTGTTGAGAAGTCAGGACAAACTCACAGCAACTACAGTAAACTCAACATTTCTAAATGTCTTTTTACCACTCCTCCATATCCCAGAATAGCGAAAAATAACCCTCAGGGACAAAAGAGGTGAGGGAACACATGCACTGAAAATACCAACAAAAACAAAATTCATGCTATGTTGAACAACATCATGTTATAATTAAATAGCAAAATGTTTACTTATAAGCATATTGTTGTTTGTTAGTTTGTTTTTTATGAGACAGGGTTTCATTCTGTTGCCCATGCTGGAGTGCAGTGGCGTGATCTTGGCTCACTGCAAACTCCACCTCCCAGGTTAAAGCAATTTTCCTGCCTCAGCCTCCTAAGTAGCTGGAACTACAGGCGAGCACCAACATGCCCGGCTAATTTTTATATTTTCAGTAGAGACATGATTTCACCGTGTTAGCCAGTCTAGTCTCAAACTTCTGACATCAAGTGATCCGCCTGCCTTGGCCTCCCAAAGTGCTGGGATGACAGGCATGAGCCACTGCACTCAGCTTACTTATAAGCATATTATGTCTTCCCATATAATTCAGATATTTTCACACCCTTTTTGAATCAATGTACAATTCCCTCTTTCCTTTTGTGTAGTGTCAGACATGTCAGTCTCAGGGTCCATGCCGCTATGGAAACAGTAAGAGAGGGGCTAGAACAGGGAAGTCTTAATAGAATATGCATGTATCTTTGTTGGCTTATATAGAAAAGTGGTTAATCATGTCATGCCTCCTTAATTCCTCCTGAGTCTACAGTTTGGAGAATAGAAACACAATGACACAATTCAATGTGGCTTTCTAGCTAGTGAACTGCTACCTTCTCCTCTTAATTTCTCACTTAAGCCAGCAAGTGAACTGCTACCTTCTCCTCTTATTTTTTCAAGCCAGATAAGGAGGATAAGATGAATGGGGCAGAATTATGGGGAATGCTTTGTAGAACTTTTTTGTAAGAATGGAATGCTCTATATGTTGAAGTGAGCAAGAAGACAAAAAAAAATTTTGAAAAAAAAAAGGCTCTATTTACATATTATTTTTTAATTCTTTACCTAGGACAAAAAAGACTAGAAGGAAATACTTTCAAATAACACTGAATTCCTTTGGGTTTCATAACTCTTTTTATTTTCTTTTCACTGTTCTGTTTGCTCTAAATTCCCTTTCATGACAAGTATTGGTAAAACTTTTAATATATTTAATAACATTTTAAAAATACTTGTTTAAGAACCAATGCTCATGGTGATTTCAATAGATTTTAAAATCGGTATTTTTAAAATGTTCTCTTTTCTTAAAAAGTAATATAATTTTTATCTCAATTTTACACACTTTTCCTAAGAAAATGAGAAGAATTTTGCCTCTTGGAATAAACGTCTTTATAGTTGAAGGTGGGCACCTATGAGTGTAATATACTGCATTTCTTTTAGCATACTTGTTCTACTTAGGGCCAACATTAGAAAGACCCCAGAGACCCTCTGGAACGGAGCTTTTTAGATGCTGTAGATCTACTTCCCCAGAGAATAGAAAGAATTAACATGCACCCAGCAGTATCCAGAGCAGTGATTTCAGCACTATGTCTTCATTGTGCAACATTCAGGAGGCGGAAATTATTTTAAATCATTTTGTATAATTTTTAGAAAACTGTCAAAACAGAAAGTATTAATGCAAAATCTAGGAAGGCATTTTTAAGCAGAGTCGTAGAGGGAGCATCCTAAAACTAAATAATCACTGAGAGATAAATATACAAATGGACAATGGCTAGACCACATGTAAAAGTAGAATGCTGACTAACAGCCTGAAGCAACCTGCCCAGGAAATCAACTCTTTATCTATGATAAGCAGCCCAGGAAGCCAGCCTAATATAAATCACACTTGTAGAAAGTCAGACTCCTGTCTCTAGTAACAATCCAAGAAGCTTAATAATAACTTCTATAACAATCAGTACAAAATGGTGAGGACTTGGTTAACCTGACAGCTTCCCTTATTTTTGCACCCATTTCTAACTTAAGACCAACCAGACAAAGCCAAATGTACAGCCCTAACCAATCACATAGGATGTCCCACTTCTAGTAGCCTGCCTACAGCTTCCCCATGCCAGCAACCTTCAGTCAGAACATACCTGAAACCTTCCCTTTTTTCCTCTATGGAGCTTTCCTACCCTTCTGATTGCCTTTGAGTCTTTGCTAAAATGCAAGCAATGGTAGCTGACTCCCTTGCTATAACAACCTCTGAATAAACAGTCTCTGCTTTTGGTTTGTCTTCATATATTTCCACACCACGGAAGAAGAGAGAAAATCCCATGACCAACTTGTAGAAGAATTCATTGAAAGGCACAGGAATTTAGTGATTGCAAATGGTGTACGTGAAATTTACACCTACATATGACATATAAAGTAATAAACACAGGTACACTTTATAGAGCACTCCTTGAGGAATCACTACAGCATCTCTTTTTAAAATGCATTCTCACATACAGTGATCTTCAAGCATTTTTAATCCAGTATGCCATCAATAAATGTTTAGCAAGCATTCCAGAAATATACTTATTTATACATCTTATATATGTAGCAAATTTAGAAAATTTAAAAGATGAAATAAAGCGTGTGTTAGTTCACTTGTGTGTTGCTATAAATACCTGAAGCTGTGTAATTCATAAAGAAGAGAGATTTATTTGGCTCACCATTCTGCAGGCGGTACAAGAAGCATGGCACCTGCATCTGCTTCTCATGAGGGTTTCAGGCTGCTTCCCTTCACGACAGAAAGCAAACAGGAGCAGGCCTGTGCAGAGATCACACAGCAAGAAAGAGGAAGCAAGAGAAGGGGGAGGTGTGGGGCTCTTTTTAACAACCAGCTCTCTGGGGAATTAATAGAGCAAGAACTTACTCATCAACCTCAAGGACAGCACCAAGCCATTAGTGAAAGATCCACCCTTTTGACCCAAACACATCACATTAGGCCCCACCTACAACACTGGGGATCAAATTTCAACATGAGATTTGGAGGACTGAAACACAGCAAACTATAGCAAAGTTAAATGAAACTACTTATAAACATTCTGCAAATCACAATTACTTCATACTATCAGTAGCTAATAATTTTGTTATGGGTATAAATTCACGTCAGAAGGTCTTCTTGATAATTTTCGAGCTTTATGTCCAAGAATTAGATAATTAGATTGTCATTGCTTTTACTTCTGAGGTGACTAATTATGAACTCATATTGTAGGGAGTGGTATAAATGTCAGCTCTGTCTTTTTTTTTTTTTTCCTGAAGCTTGCTTGTTGCTTACATCATCGTTATCAATATATTTTATCTTTGGTATCTTTGCAAGAATCTTTTAGTCCACTTGCCATCTAAAGTTTGAGGTGGACACAAGATAACATTTTCTATAAAACCACATAAGTCCAAGAGAAGTGGCTCATACCTACAATCCCAGCATTTTGGAAGTCCAAAGTGGAAGGATGGCTTGAGCCTAGGAGTTCAAGACCAGCCTGGACAAGATGGCAAGACCCCATCTCTACAAAATTAAAAAAAGAAAAAAATTAGCCAACCATGGTGGCACACGCTGAAGCAAGAGGATCACTTGAGCACAGGAGTTTGAGACTGCAGGGAGCTATGATTGCACCACTGCTGCCTAGCCTGGGCAACTGAGTGAGACCCCCCATTTCTAAAAATTAATTACTTTCTTTTAAAAAATAGAACCACTTCACAGATTGGCTGTAAAAGGTTGCAAGGTGCTGAAAGCAAGCAAATTATCAACTGTCCATCAACATTCCCTCTGAAATAAACATATCCAAGCCAACCAATAAATTCAATTTCAATAAATTTAGTTTATTTCTCATTTTGGATAATATATTAATAGAAGAGTAAGAGCTAAAGAGAAGTACTATTGTTTTTCTCCCATATCTCAATAGATCCCTCTGTGGAGACATGCTTTGGAGACTAGGCAATCTTCCATATTATTTCCCTGAGTTTGATAAACTAACACAGTTTTATTTTTTTCCTTTTTTTGCAAATAAGAGTGAGAAGGGGCCAGGCATGGTGGTTCACGCCTGTAATCCCAGCACTTTGGGAGGCCAAGGTAGGCCGATAACAAGGTCAGGAGATCAAGACCATCCTGGCCAGCATGGTGAAACCCCATCTCTACTAAAATACAAAAAATTAGCTGGGTGTGGTGGCAAGCACCTGTAATCCTAGCTACTCAGGAGGCTGAGGCAGGAGAATCACTTGAACCTGGGAGGCAAATGTTGCAGTGAGCCGAGATCACACACTGCACTCCAGCCAGGCCACAGAGCAAGACTCCTTCTCAAAAAGAAACAAAAAAGAGTGAGAAGGAAATGAGGTGAAGAATGTGCCTACATTTTCTTTGCTTAAATTCACATCAGATAGGAATTATGCATAACCCTTTTCAACTATTGGCCTTCTGAGCTAAAGTGGGGAGGGGTCGATTTAAAGAATAAAACCATAGAGCTGGTGCCCTGAAATATGTGTTACTCGAATTTCCCTCCTTTCTTTCTTTGAAAATTGGCAGCTCCAGAGTTCAATGCATTTAGATACTTAGTTCATGTTAAATCAGCACAATTATCTTATAAAAATTATGCATCACAAGTAGTTTGGTAAACACATTAGCTAATTCTTGTATTACCCAAGAGGTGGCATATCAACCAGATGTGCTGATATATCTAAGTTCCAAGTGCAGACTGTCACTTACCTGCATTTTTAGTAGCCAAGTTTGCAATTTTCTTCATTATTCATTAGTGCTCTAAACTCTCCTTCATTATTTCTTTTCATAGTTACAGAATTTAAACCCTAGAAGCTCCAGCATTTTCGAGTCATTCATGTTATGCCCATCTCTCCTAATTATAGAACTTTTTAAAACCTTTTATCTATTTCTTCCCTGATATATTTACAAAAGTCCCGTTATTATTATCTCTCTCTGCTAACAAACTCCATTTGCGTTTTGGCTATTATCTTTTCCTTGTCAGTCATAACTAATGGGGCAGAATCTTGTTTAATTTTTTTCCATCTATTCTATTCCTGTCATGCATTTATTTCCCCCTACATATAGATCTTAAAATAAGTCAAAGGAACCAGTTCATTTAAAAATTATTTGAATGCTTCCTACAGCACACAGACTTTCATTTTGGTATCAGTGCAGATTTTTATCTCATTCTTATTTTCCCAACTGGATCTTTCTCTTACTGTAGAATACGAGGAAACTCTTTAAAATAATCTTTCTTAAAATCTGATAATGATACAATTGGTGAAACCAATCTGTGATAGCCACCTTTGAGTTAGCCATGGTAACTGGGAAACATTGGTCTGTCCTAATTAAGGGAAAGCTCTCAAAAGAAGCTGAAATTCAGGTACAGCATAGTTCCTTTTTCTTTTTTTTTTAAGATGGCGTCTCGCACTGTCACCCAGGCTGGACTGCAATAGTGCGATCTCAGCTCACTGCAACCGCTGCCTCTTGGGTTCAAGCAATTCTCCAGCCTCAGGCTCCCAAGTAGCTGGCATTACAGGCATCTGCTACCACATCCAGCTAATTTTTTGTATTTTTAGGAGAGACAGGGTTTCACCATGTTGTCCAGGCTGGTCTTGAACTCCTGACCTTATGATCCGCCTGCCTTGGCCTCTCAAAGTGCTGGGATTACAGGCATGAGGCACCATGCCCGGCCTAGCATAGCTCTTTATTGAACACCAAATTTGCACTAATATTCACATAAATATCTGCATTCAAGAGATATCATTCCAGATGTGTTCACCTATTTTCCAGTGGGCATGCTAATAAACATTCAATTAAGTTTAAAAAAAAAAAAAAAAAAAGGTCAAAAACAATAGCTGAACAGGAAGTATGGACCGGACCACTGACACCAATTCTTAAAATCAGTTACTTCCGGGAAAGAGTGTGTGATTGATGAGTAAAAGGGAAGATAAAAGAGGATGTTTAATTTCTATTGTATCCCCTTCTACAACAATGTAACATTTTACAATAAGCATGTATTTTCTATAATTTAAAATAATGTAAAGAAAAAGAAGGGGGCATATGAAAAATAATTACCTGTTTAAGTTAATTGCTTATATAAACAATAACATTAGAATACATTATCAGTAACTTCCAACCAAGTATATACGATTGCTTGGCCAGCCACCATCCTCTTTAAGGTAGTAGGACCGAGAAGACAGCAAGGCACCATGAACAGTTTGAAACACTTGGAACTGAGGTTGAGATTGGGTTTAGAAAAAAGCAAGCTAAAATAATAACCACAATGTACCTGTGCCAAATGTTTGCGACTTGGATATTTTGCTAAAGGCCAACCCTGTTGGAGACTTGCTGCTATATATGCTTCCTCACAGTCACCAGTCACCCAAATAGACATGTCGTTTCCTAGACTTCCTCTCTGCCTCAAAGGAGACAGGCACATATTTGGATCAAGCCTGGTGGGAGATGTGCTATTGCTGGTGTCAGTGAGACTCTGCACATTCCAGGAATTAAGACAGGATGTGCATAGTTCCTCTGTAAGTGCTTCATGGGCAATCGGTATAATCACCAATATCACAGAAGGAATTTTTTTTCTTATTTTTCCCCAAATGCAACTATTCTCTCTTCTGGAAAAAAAATTTACAAAGTAAATTCAGGTGGAAGAGACAATGGCAGAGGTGAGGGTGAGGAGAGACTCCCCTGTTGATGGTTGAGTTTTTGGGAAATGTTCTCAAATCATACTTGGCCACAGTCCCCAGACAAAATCCTTTGTTGTACCCATCTCTCAGCAAGGTAAAATCATGAGAACAAAGCCTAAGTCAGAAGCACAGTGGAGCAAAGAGGGACACATCTCCTGCCTCACTCAGAAAAATTAAGTTCTGGCAATTCCTTAAATTCATCCTAAAAATGACATCTTCATTTTGATTGAGTGACAATTAACATGTTATGATTTTAAGCAGAAATTTATGTATATGCTTCCAGCAGTCAATTCTTCAGGGTAAAGCATTTGAGAATAAAAAATGTGCATTGCAGCCCCTTGCTCCTCACTAATACTGTTGCTAAGCTTGGCAGAAAGAAATGTGCCTTAATGTTCTTAAGTAACAATGGGGAAATTACACAGAGAAGCATCAGGAGAAGATGATGGGGAAAGTGTTGGGCTACCCTGATGGAATAATACAGAAACAGAAACAATGTCATCCAAGCCACAATCAAAATCTCCTATCCATTGAGTTACCTGAGAAAGGGACACTCATGAATAAGAAGACAGTATTTAAAGCAAGAGAGTCTCTAGGAGTTGGAAGGTGGCAACATTTGATGATGATCATTTGAGCTGAGATCACTCGAAGAGCAAAACTATCTGCCCAATGGAGTCTAATCATGAAGTTAAAAACAGCCACAGCCTGGGCAAGTACGTGCCTTCATTCTCTCTTTTAGTGAATCAGTCAGGCAACATACACCACACCAAGCATCTAAATTCTGACAAATAAACTGTAAGATAGGTTTGGTATCCCCAACTGAAAGACAAGAAAAATAAAACCAGAGATGTTAAAGAGCTGCTGTAACTCGTTTCTCAGATGGGACAAGCTCAAGAAAGACCACCTTAAATACCATCAGCTTCTCATTCCCTGTTCCTTGACAATACCTGAGGTAGATTCTATAGATTTTTGGTCATTTTTAGGAATTGAAAGAATTTCATTTTCAGGTATTGAAAAGTCCAGTCCAGTCCAAATCAAAACTTCAGTCTCTTTAGCAATTAAGAACTTCTCCCATCCTCCACCCCTAATCTGAAGCCACAGTTTCTCAGGCCGTGAGTGAACAGTAGAGGAGGCAGGGTCTCTT